GCAAATGGCAGTCAGGCAGAGGAGGCTCGCACTGTGTCGGAGGGGCTGTGCTTTCTGGGGATCCTTTGCTCGTGGGGCTGTGGTGCTCCCTGCGGCTCCTGACCGGCTCATCATCCTGCTGTCACCCACCCCAGGCGCCAGGGAGCACCTGGACCCACCACTCACCTCTCACCACACAGAACCAATCCTGCCTTCTGCTGGTCCGCCTTCTTTGACACGACCCAGGCCACAGCCTCTGGCCTGCCCCCGGCAGTCTGCGCATCCCTGCCACCCATCTCCCGTCTCCTGTGTCCCCCCATCTGGCCCCGTGCTGCCGCCTGCCACTGCCCCGCTCAGAACTTCCACGGCCCAGCAGCTCAGGGGGCGTTCAAGGGCACCAGGCCCTACGGGACCTGCCCCTCGTCTCAGGAGCAGCCTGAGAGGCAGCCTGCCCACAGGTCCTGCACCCCGTGGGCTCCTCCTGCCCTAGGCCCTGCCTGGAGTGTCGTCACCCTTTTACCTAGTTCCTTCTCATCCTCCACCCTGAGCTCAGGGGCCATCTCTCCCAGGAAGCCTCCCCCCCCACCCCCTGCTCCCAGGCTGGGTTCAGGGTCCGGCTTCAGGCCTCCCTGGGTGCACTAACACCAAGCTAAGCACGTGGTCTTTATCACCTCTTTGTGTCTCTCTCTCCCTCTAGACCAGCGGTTCTCAACCTTCCTAATGCTGAGACCCTTTAATACAGTTCCTCATGTTGTGGTGACCCCCAATTTCATTGTTACAAATTGAACATAATTAAAGCATAGTGATTCATCACAAAAACAATATGAAATTATATATGTGTTTTCTGATGGTCTTAGGCGACCCCTGTGAAAGGGTCGTTCGACCCCCAAAGGGGTCTCGACCCACAGGTTGAGAACCGCTGCTCTAGCCTGTGAGTCACCTGAGGGCGGGACGATCCCTGACTGGGGCAGGGGATCGAGCCTGCAGCTGAGGTGACCAGAATCGAACCCTGACCTCTCTAGCTTTCTATCCATACTGCTCCCTGAGTCCTGTCTATAGATGGTCGCACTGGCCTCCTGGTTCCCAGCCCCAGGTGGCTCTCTCCCCGATCTCCATGGCCCTGAGGGCCTAGCGAGGAGGCCAAGACCCCTCCAGGGAGGCGGCCGACAGGAGACAAGACACAGGTCCGTCTGGTGGGTTCAGCCAGCCTGGGCCCGCTCATGCCAGCTCTCCCTCCTGGCTCCCAGCCTCTGTCTGTGCCCAGGAAGTGCCAGGGCCCAGTGAGACAGGCAGCCCCTGCTTGCCCGCCAGGCCTCCCAGCCCTGCCAGCCGCGTTCTCCTCGCTGCCCTGCTGGGCGTGGAGGCAGCATGGGCGGGGGGGGGGGGGGGCGCTTGGTTGCAGAATTGGGGGAAGAGCAGGAAAAGCACTGCTTTCCCCTCCGTGACCCTGGCCGGGAGGGGCTCTCGGAGAAGACGGAAGACAGAGAGAAGCCATGTCGCTTCCCTTTGAGTCCAGGTCTCCAGCCTGGCTGTGGGGGAGGGTGGGAGCTGAGGGTCCGAGGAGAACAGCTGTGCGTGGGCACACAGGGCTGGGCGCCCGCCACTGTGGGCAGCGACTTACTGTGCTTCTGTGCGTGTGCCAGGATGTGAGCATGCACAGCAGAGGGATGTGTGTGCATCCTGCACATGTGCATGCGTGTGCGGGGTAGTGTGTGTGTGTGTGTGTGTGTGTGTGTGTGTGTCTGCTTCCTGTACGTGCTGTGGACACCAGATTACTCAGAGTCAGGTTTGCTCATTTTCCAAGGATTTGGGGTTATGTCCCGACCTGTTCCCTGAGACCGTGTATGAGTGTGAATGTGAGTGTGAGTGTGAGCGTGAATGTGTGTGCAGCAGGAGAGTGGGGAGGGGGAAGGTAACTTGGACAGTGCTCAGTGCAGGAAGTGGGGTCATCCTGGCCCTCTGTCAGCGTCTCTGCTCCTGGCCTGTGTGTCGGAGGAAACCCAGTCCCTGGGGCTCCCGGCACTCTCCCCCTGGGGGTCTCACTGTCACTCCCAGAACATGTCCTGGGGCTCCTCCTGCTCTTTCAGGGTCTCCGTGAGTCCCAGTCGGGAGGGACCCCTCAGCAGAGCAGATCAACACATGGAACTGTCGGGCCCCTGGGCTGTGCGGAGGAGGCTGGGCCCCATCTGGCTGAATGCGGCCCCCGGCCCTGGAGGCCGGCCCGGGAGAGGTTGGGCTCTCTGGTCCCCCCAAGGGCCTGCATGACCTGCAGCTCTGTGCTCCTGAGACCTGGTGAAGGGGGTGGTGGGGTGGGTGGTGAGGGGGGTGGAGAGGGGGCCTCCACCCCCGCCCAGGTTGAGTGACCGTCTTGCTGCCATCAGGTACCATGTTCAGGACTCAGGCCACTGCTGCCCCACGGAAGTGAGACCCCCGAGTGTCTCCGAATCCCGGCCCCACTACTGCCAGCAGCTCCCTGCACCCAGAGAGCAGACCCTCAGAGTCGGACTCGGTGCCAGAGCTAGGAGGGCCTCTTCACGTACAGAGGTCGGTCGGAGGCCGGGCCGGCGGCGGTGGGGGAGAGAGGGGTGGTGCAGAAGATGCCTTGGGCCTCACCGATCCTGCGCCAGGGGTCTCCCCTGGCATCAGCCCTCTGCCTCTCCTCCCCTCTGCACCCAGGGCCTCTCTGCTCCCCTGGGGCCCTGAGCTGGGCAGGAAGAGGAAGGACCAACCCCCGAAGGACGCCTGGGCTGTTTCCACCTGTGCCTGATGGGACAGTTCTGTTCTCTTTAATGCAGCAACGCCCGCTGGTTTCCCTTCGTACAGACACCGTCTCCTTCCACACGCCAGAAACCCTGCAAGCTTGTCCCCATCACCCTCTTGGCCCATCTGACCTTGTGACCTCTGGGAGGTAGGAAGCCAGGGATCACGATCCCATTCACAGACGAGGGCTCCGAGGCTGTGGTCACGGGTGTGACCTGCCCATCGTGCGGGAGCCAGAGGCAGGTCTGCTTTGCCTTTCCCAACCAGGAGACACTCCCCAGGGCGGCCCAGAGGCAGGCGCAGCTGCCCCCAGGCCCCTCCCCTCCCCTCTTAGTGCCCTTAAAGGCCACTGTCAAGGACAGGGCTGGAGGAGCAGCCTCCCCACTCACCTATGACCGTGAGGGTGCCTGTGGCCTCCGCTGAGCCGAAGGTGTTGGTGACCTCACAGATGTAGGTGCCGCTGTCCTCGGTCCGCAGGTCGCTGATGGTCAGCCCTGTGACGTGGTTGGTCCAGCGGGTGTCGGCCGGGAGGGGCCTGCCATCCTTGAGCCAGCGGACGGCGGGGGTGGGGTAGCCGGAGGCGGTGCAGGGCAGCTCCACGGTGTGGCCGGCCCACACCTCCTGGGAGTGGAAGCTGTCCAGGATGGCGGGGACGGACTCGGCAGGGTCTGGAAGGCAGAGTGTCTGGGTGGCCCCGGCTGGCCCTGGGCTGGGGGCCGTGGGGCTGGGGGAGGGGAGGCAGCACCCGGAGCAGGCCCTGCTGCCCACTGGTGCCCAGAGGAGCAACACCCAGTGTGCGAGGGTTCTCGGTGTCTCCCTGAGCCAGATGCTGGCCCAAACTCTCCCGCTCCTGCTGGACGGAGGCCCTGAGACCCCGGGCCGGGAGCAGGGGCTGGGGGAAGACAGGCTGACTCAGCTAGAAGGACAGACAGGGAAGAGCCTGAGGTGCAGAGGGAGAGTGCGCAGCTCCTCACACCGCAGCCCCGCAGGCTGGCCAGCCTCGGAGCAGCGAGTCCCTGTGACATGAGCATCGTGATGTCTGGGGCTGGCGATGATGGGGAAGGCTTGGTCTGGGCCTCAGCCTGGCCTGCGGGTGCCCCTCAGGATGGGGGACAATCGCCTGCCCTGTCCCGTCACCCCCCCAGCAGTCGGGCAGATATGCACTTCCCCAGCACCCAGAAGGGCTTGGAAGCTAAGCCTTCTGCAAACAGCCTCTTTGCCCCCAACAAGTACCCACTGTTTGCTTTTCCAAACCAAGAGAAGGCAGTGGCGCAGGACCTGAGCCCTGGACTCCGAGGCCCAAAACCTGAGCAGGCAGGTCCGTCCGTGATGGCCGTGCCACTTCCGAGTGGTGCCAGCTGCTCGCTCAGGCTGGCGCTCACCCTGCCAGGCCTCCCCGGGCTCCTTCCCATGGGGCCTCCCTGCTGTGACAGCTCCTCAGGCTCCCCTGCATCACAGGACACAATGCACTCGTGCCTGAGGTCCAAGGCCCCATGATTAGTTCCCACCGCTTTCCTGGCCTGGCCTCTACACTGCCTCCCGCCCTCATCTCAGCGCTCCCACTTGTGCCTGCGGGTCCGCGCTGTCCCCACCGCCGTGTGGATGTGGCACCGCCATGCAGACGTGGTACCACCGTGTGGACGTGCCACCATTGTGCGGACGGACGTGCAGGGCAACTGCTCTCAGGCCTCCCTGCCTGCCAGTTTCTGCGGCTCTAACCCCGCCCCCTGTGGGAATGGTTGGGATAAACAAACCCGGTGCCAGGGAAGAATTACTCAATGTGACACTTAATTGATGCAAAACACACAAATTCTGTGGCACACGCGGAATTTACAAGCGGAGGGGCTGACAGGCCGCGGAGGAGGGGCAGGGGATTAATCGGCGAGTCTCAGGCGTGAAATTAGATTCTGAGTGAGAGAAACTGCTTTCCTTCTCGGGAGCGGAGGATGCGCTGTGGCGTGTGCAGCCGGGGCTCGGCATTGCTGGGCCAGAGCGGGGCTGGGGAGACGGGTGATGGGGAGACGGGGGCTGGGCCCTGAGAAACCCCGGGTGCCGGGCTGGGCGGGGCATCCAGACGCCCCGGGAGGCTGAACAGCGCTGCCCAGACACGGCTGCGGCCCTGGCTCTGGACTCTGTGACCTGGGGAGCTTGTTCTGGTCTCAGCCTCTCTGGCCCTGGGTCCCTCTTTTGCAAAAGCCCACGACACGCCTTGTCCAGAGCGGGTGCCCGAAAGCACTTGTAACCAGAGGAAAGCCCGATGCCCGGGGTTAGTGTCAGGCTGTGTTTTAGGGACTCACACTATTCTTGCAACTGCCTCCTCCTCTTAGAAAAATACAAAACATGGAAGTTGTCCTCCGCCCCACGCCGGGGAAATGTAGGAGTAAGAACCAGTAGCAACAGAGCAACAGCAGCTACAACAGAGCAGCCGCTCCCCAGGCCTGCCCGTGCCAAGCACCCCACCAGGCTGTCTGCAGCGGGACCCTATTTAATTTTCACGACCCCTCGCGGGCACATTTTGTCACGCCCACCTGACAGAAGAGGTGGCGGAGGCTTGGAGACCTCATTTCTCTGATGCTGGATGCACAGCTGGTGCGCAGTGGGGCGAGGCCGGAAGTGTGGCTGCTGCATGTCCTGGCTCCCCTCCTCCCTCCCTCTCACTCCATCAGTCACTGAGGATGAAGGAGCTCTGTCTTGGCTGTGGCCTCGCTCTCATCCATGCCCACCCACAGCGCTCGGCCCGCACACCGGCCCCACCTGTTCTTCCTGCCTTTGGGCCTGGGAGCAGGAGGGGTAGCCATCCCTTGGGGGTGTGCCGGGGTCAGAGCCCTCGGCCACCAGGTGCCTCCGCCCAGACACCCCGCTACCTCTCCCCATCCCTGGTCCAGCTGCTGGCCCAGAGCTTCTGGCTGGGCAGGGCCACGCTTTTCCAGACACAGCCCCAGGGGCTCATGGGGCTCTGGCCACAGAATGAAACATCTCAGCTGAAACCCCCAGTCCCTGGGACTGACCCCCACCCTCAACTCTGGAAGTGGGTCTGAAATGTCGGGGGCAGCGGGGATGGAGGCTGAGGCCTGACAGGCACTCCCCCCCATTCCCCCCTCCATGGCCTCGCTCCAGATCAGTTGCATTTTTGCCAAGACAAGCAGCTTGCAGATCACCTCACAGCATCCCATCCCCATCCCGTCACAGCAGGGCGCTCCCCTGGCTCCCTCGCTCCCTTCCCTCGCTCTCTGCTGCTCCCTGCAGGTCCCTTCCACGCTGCGGAACGTCTCTCTCCGGAGCCTGAGCCTCTCCCCTTTGTCCGGGTGCCTTCCTGTCCTTATTTCTGTCTCTCCATGCGGGCTGTGTGTCTGATTCTCTGCCCACGCTCTCCTTCTCACAGCTGGTGGGCCACAAAGACAGAAGGAGAAGGGCTGGCATACCCTCCAGTTTAACGAGTGTCTTTTCTGAGGGAATCTCGTTATTCCCCTCCAAAGTGGAGGTGAAGTTAGCAGGATGGAGGGCTAAATATTTGTGCCAGGGAAAGGAACAGGCCTGCAGGAGGCGGGGTGTCCGTGCCTGCCCCACGCTGTGAGGGCGAAGCACCATGCACAGACAAGTCCCTGTGACCTGGAATGGAACCACTGACACCTTTGGGAATGAAGTGGCTCAGCCCTACGTCCAGCCCCGAAGATGGAGCCACGTAGTGCAGCCCCCTTTCCTCACCCGATGAAGCACAGCTCCCTTCATCATTGGTTAATTCCATAACTGTTTCCTGAGCACCTACTAAGTGCCAGGCATAGGGCCAGGTGCAGGAGGCACCAGGAGGCATCAGAGAGCCCGATCCTGGCCCTCCTGGCTCCTGTCCCCTTGGTCTTGCCTACAAATGAGAGGGGAACCTGGCAGAGCCACCTGCTGGCCAAGGCAGTCCTCCCCAAACCTCACCACATCAGAGGCGCCAGCATCGGAGCAGTCACCCGGTCTGGCTCCTCTTCCAGAGGCCCAGAGAGGTGGCATGATTTGGGGGGTCTAGTCTCCAAACCAGGAGTCTGACCATCAATCCACCCTCCTTCCCAAGGCCGCTCCCATCCCATCGCTTCAAGAGCAGAACTTTTCAAACTGCAGCCACAACGGTTAGGAAGTTGTCACACCCACGGGGCGAGGCTGTGGCCAGCATTTAGATGAACTGGTTGGGAGAGGATGCCACAGGGAAGGTGAGAGCACGTGGCCTGCAGGTGGCAGGAAGCACCAGAGACTGCGAGGCCCTGCGGAGCACGTCTGGGGGCCGCAGCTGGGAGAGCAGGTCCCCGAAAGCCGGCCCCCAGGGGCTCCATGCGCCCCTCTTTGCTCTGTGGCTGGGCATGTGTGTGGGGCTCCTCTGGCCCTTCCCTAGGGGTCGGCAGCTGGGGACGCTGGGGTCAGAGTGCGAGTTCTGGTAAAGCGCTTGGCTCCCCTAAGCCCTGCTTTTCTCACCTTTGAAATAGGAAGAGCAGCACACACCTCACGGGCGAGGGCGTGCCTGGCAGCACAGGAGGGAAGCGCTGGCACCCGGCTTCAGTGAATATTAGCCTCCACCCTCCTTAAGCTGCAGTCAGCACTCCAGGAGAGTCCTTTATCCAATGCAGACAGATTGTGTTTACAAACTATCTCCTGCCTACTTTCAGATGCTGTGAGGTGGGCTACCACAAAAAATGTAAATGTACTTATAAACAGATAAAATAGAATCTTAAGAAATACTTAGAGATAGGAAAATAAAACAGCTCCCTAATCCAACCTAATCTAATGGAATCTAGGCAAATCTAATCATTATTATGGTTGAGCATCAGATTTTATCTATGAGCTTCCTAGCAGCAAAGGCAAAGAAAGAGGCGGGGGGGGTGGGGGGGGGTGGGGTTTCCGTAACGCTCATTGTTCGATAAATAGTGACACAGTTCCTCAGGAGAGTGGGCCTCCCTCGGGTATAGACGCCTCTAAATAATTCCTTTTTTGCATCCTCATATGCAGGGCACCCCAAAACAAACTGGGCAAGGTTTGCCCCAGTGGTTCCATACCAGTCCTTTAACCTTCTCTGAGACTCTCTGGTCCATGGTGTGGACATGCCCAGTCCCAGGGCTGGGCTGGGGTGCCCTCCCTCCTCTCCCCCCCCCCCCCGGCCTACCTGTCACAGAGAGGCGGGCCCCGTTGCTCTGCCGGGTCTCCCCGCTGTACTTGTGCTTGGTGATGCAGCGGTAGGTGGAGAGGGCGTCCTCCTTCTGCACGTCGGAGATGTACAGCCCGCCGTGGAAAGTAATAAAAAACCTGTTTTCTGGAGACACAAGCAGGACGTGTCCTTTACTCCCCTATCTGGGCAAACCACTGAAGCAACTCGGGCGGCAGCTGGCCCTCTCCCGGCCAGGACTACTGCCCAGGGGGAGGAAGGGGAGGGGAAGGGGGTGAGGTTGGTGCAGCCTCCAAGGCAGGGTAGCATCTCCAATAGATGAGGGATCTCTATGTGCAAACACACGGAAGTCACAGTAATTGTTCCTTTAAGTGAAACGCCTCAGGGTTTTACAGAAAGACATGGGGCTTTAGAGTCAGAGGAGATCCGGGTTCCAATCTGACTCGTCCTTTTATTGGCTGTGTGACCTCGAGCAAATTACTTAAACTCTCTGAGCCTTATCTGTACAATGAGATGCAAATAATACTTCAAACAGTGGCTGTAAGGATTAAAAAAATAACCAAGTGTCTGGAACACACTAAGTGCTCATCTGGAGAACAGAAGTCCTCATCTGTACCTCTTTGCAAGCGTTTGCAAAGGTCTTTCATAGGCTTTGCTCTTTTGTTCTTACAACTGTGAGAGCTGCCTCTCCATTGTCAGGACACAGCCAGTAAGCGGACTGGGACTCAGGCCTTCTGGCTCCCAGCTGTCCCTCTACATTGAACTGAACACAGGCCTCGATCCTCTTCTCGCAATTTTCATCACTTATTCACTCAACAAGCAAATACTGGGGCTCAGCTACCCTGGGAACGGGGACCTGGGGATACAGATACACACCAGCATTCAACACACAGTTCCTGACCACCATCCTGCGCAAGGCCGAGCCCAGGCCGGGTCTCACCTGTCCTGCCCCTCCACAGACTTTGTCAGGATGTGGCAGGGAAGACGGAAGGACGGAAGGACAGAAGGACAGGCAGCAGTGCACCCATTCTGCGGATGCTGACAGCTGTTTCCACTCAGAATGGAGTGGGTTTTCTTGTCCAAGTTTCTCAGGCAAAACCTGAACTGGAGCGAGTTGAGGCTGATTTTGAAAGGGGAGCCTGTGGACCTGAGAGTTGGGGAGGGGCTTGCATTTGGCTTTGGGCTCCCTCAGCTCAGGTCCGTGTCCTCCCACCCCAGACCCAGCGGGACCGAGACTGAGCACTGACTTTGCTGCTCTCTGGGGGCCTCGCTTCTTGGCCAGGTGGGCAGGGGAGACCCCCGGCTGCCACTTCCACGGGGAGGGCCTGGCGTCAGAACCGTGATGCTGACCGAGAAGGAAGCTGGGGGAGAGGGTAACGCTGGAGCGGGGAGGACCTGCTGACCCCGGGGAGGCCCTCACGGGGAGGCAGGCTGGGTGCTCCGTGCCCTTCCCATCCTATTATGTAGAGGTCGGCACCCCCCACCGCGGACTGCGTGGCCCCCTCAGCCGATGACAAGAGCGCTGACACTGGCTCACCCTCCTCACAGGGACATTTCGTGGTGTCCCACCCTCCACGCTCGAGCTCACGATCTCGGCATCTGGAGGTGGGACACTTTCTGCAGGAGGCTGTATAGGTGCAGGCTGAACACTGCAGTGTCTGAACACATCTTTTTTTGTTTGTCTGTTTAAATATATTTTTATTGATTTCAGAGATGAAGGGAGAGGGAGAGAGAGATAGAAACATCAATGATGAGAGAGAATCATTGATCGGCTGCCGCCTGTGTGCCCCCCACGGGGGATTAAGCTCACAACCACGGCATGTGCCCTGACCGGGAATCGAACCGTGACCTCCTGGTTCATAGGTCGACGCTCAACCCCTGCGCCACGCCGGCCAGCAACCACATCTTTGACAAAGGCTCTCCAGCCTTCATTTGAGTGTCTCCCAGGCTGGGGAGCTCACCTCCTGTCAGGGACCCATCCAGAGTCCAGGGCTCTGCCCTGCAGCCAGACCTTCCTTGCTCGCAGTTGGCCTCACGTGGCTCCCTCCGTGGCTCTCTCGCGTGGCTCCCTCCGTGAGCGCTGCTTCTGCCACGGCTTCTGCCACAGAGCCTGCAGACCCCTACACCTGTGCCGCTCACTCTCCCTCACACACCGGAGGCAGCCATCCTGCCCTTTGATTTTCCTTCCGGTTATGCTGTCTTGGGATTTCATTTTTTAATAGTTATTTGTTTCATATGGGTTCAAATAGCTTCAGCCCTCTGGTGGGTCTCTTGCTTCTTAATAAACTTTGTTGTATCTACAAATCCTCTAATTCTCTCTCCCTCCTCCCTCCTCCCTCCTCCCTCCATGCCTTTCTTCCAGGTAGCTTCTGGGTCACTCACTAATCTTTGTATACAACTAGACCTACTATGTGCCTGGCACGTTGCCTAGTGGTGGGGATCTGACAATCGGCCTTATCTGATCGAGGACTGTAGAGCCAGCCAGGCGGCCTGCAGCCTCAGACCGCACGCACTTGCTGGGGCCGGGCGGGCGGGGAGAGGCCGCACCATTGTAGTTCTGCCTCACGCTCTCCTTGCGGTCAACTCAGGGCCCCGGGGAGCCCCTGCGAGGCCACTTCTCTCTCCCCCTTGGACACTGGCTCTGTGCGCCCAGGCCCAGGACGTCACACGATCCCTGCTGAGTGCCATCATGTTGGGACACCCCCCCCACCCCATGAACCGAAGCTTCCTGGCAGCCTGCCAGTCTTCTGGAACGTGGAGCTGGTGGGCCCACCCCCTCCAACACAGACCCCATGGTGCAGACCCCACTCAGGGCTGTGGGTAAAAGACGGAATAGAAGCAAGAGGAAGCCAAGCGCTGCTGCCCGCATTGGAGAGGACCCAGAGGAAGAGCAGAGAAAGCCTGGCTCCCCACCCTAGACTCCGGATGTGCCCTCATTGTCTCCATGTTGTGACCCCCCCTCCCCAGTCAAATGAGGAAGCTCTCCTGCCCTTTATTATGTAACTGGACTGGGACATGGAACTACTGGAGGAGGTTGCTGCCAATCAGGACCAGGTTAGAGCTGTGGCTGGGGGGCAAGCAGGGGTGAGGAAGAACAGGAAAGACTCCAAATCAAGCCTATGAGCCCACAGGTGCTCTGGCCTGGACAGCCAGGACCCCACGATGCCCGCAGGTGCTTCCCCCTGGACAGCCAGGACCCCACGATGCCCACAGGCGCTCCCCCCTGGACAGCCAGGACCCCACGATGCCCACAGGCGCTCCCCCCTGGACAGCCAGGACCCCACGATGTCCACAGGTGCTCCCCCTGGACAGCCAGGACCCCATGATGCCCCCAGGTGCTCTTCCTGGACAGCCAGGACCCCAGGACCAGGACTGGCCCCTGGGATTTTAGGTGAGGAAGGGGTGCTGTGGTGATGGTGGCAGGGAGCTGGGGTTTCTATAGTAACAAGCAGCTGCTGCATCTGATGTTTCACATCCTTCATTGTCCTCATTCCCCCTCCCCCCTGCTTGTGCATATTTAATTGCAGTAACATTTCCAGACACAGCGCCTGCCTCCTGAAACAAAGGCGGCTGGGAGCTGCAGGGGAAGGAGAAAACGGGGTATGATGTTGATCCCTGGGGGGCCGTGTGCAACCTCACCCTGCATGTGTGCGAGAGTCGGTGATGGGCCTGCTGGGAAGGAGGGAGCCGGAGGCCTGTGGAGGGAACAGCATAGTGAGAGGGGGGAAGTGGCCAGCCAAGCTGGTGAGGGGTCCGAGGACCAGGACTCCTCACATTGCTGGCCTCCCAGGCTGGCTCTGGCAGAGCTTCCTGGTGGCCTGGCAGCCCACCCTCCACACCCACATGGGACCAGCCACCCTGGGATGGTGGGGGAGCCGCCATTCCACAGCCTGGCTCCTCCTCCTCGGGGCAGGCTGGTCCAGCGGCAGGAAGGAGGGTGTGGCAGCCAGGCCTCTGTGCCAGCCCTCAGCAGGAGGCCATTTAGAAATGTGTGTCCGGGACCATTTTTTAAAAATATATTTTTATTGATTTCAGAGAGGAAGGGAGAGGGAGAGAGAGATAGAAACATCAACCATGAGACAGAATCATTGACTGCTGCCTCCTGCACGCTCCCTACTGGGGATCGAGCCCACAACCATAAAGGATTGAATGGGTGCCTTTGTGAGGTAGTGAGTTTCCTGTCTTCAGGGCTATTTGAGTAGAGGCTGAGGAAACACTTGTCATGGAGGACTTACATATTGAGAGAAATAAATTAGATCATCTATAAGCCCCCCCCGCCCCCCAGCAATTCATAGATTCCTAACAAAACATGGCAGACTGCAAGACCCCTTGGCGATCGACGGCAGTGCTTTAACATCAGCGTGCGCGTGCTCACCCCACCCAGGCCTTTGCTTGTGACGAGTCTTTCTGTGCCCGCGATGCTCTGTCCTTGACTCGCTCCTGGCCTCGTTCAGGTCTGTGCTCCTGGCCTGACCCCTCCATCAAAATCAGACTGTCCCACAGCCTTGCCCAGTTCCTTTCCATGACTTTTGTTTTCAGAGCACTCAGTGTTTCTCACGGAGAGCAGGAGGCACAGAATCTCGCCTCCATGAGATCTCATCACGGCTGGCACACAGAAGTCCAGTGAACAAGTGCTGAGTGAATGGACCGGGCTAGCAGAGCCAGCTCCAATGGGGTTAGGCAGCTGGACCGCCAGCCTGGAGTCCTGCCTGTGGTACCCCAATCCTGAGGGCTCTCTCCTGCTCGAACCACCACTGTCACACTGCAATGCTTTGGGCCACTTTGATCCTTGTCCTGGTCCCCCTGCTCAGCCGAGTCCAGGCTGGGACACTAAAGCAAGACTGACAGTTTGGAGCCGGCAAAGGGAAGCAAACAGATGACCACAGGAGCAGGGCAATCTGGAGCATGGACTACGGCTGAACCCACGCTTCCCAGGAGCCCCTCAAACACGCAGAGACCCAGGGCAGCTGGGCCCAGGGAGGAGGACACCACATGCCCTCTGCAGCGTGCCTGAGCCTGGCCTTCTCTTGTCCCTCCCTCAGGGGGACCCGATGACAGAGGTCACTGGTCTAGGATGGATCTCATTTGAATCCCTGGGTGACCTTCAGATCAGAGGCGTGTGGTGCGGTGGAGGCAGGGGCACGCTGCCTGCTGTGGACAGAGACGTCTTGACCCTGAGCTGCCTAACCCAGAGCTCCAGCTCTGTCCCCCGTCCTCTGCCCCCACCCGCCATGGCCCCAGTGGGTCCCCCGTCCTCTGTCCCCCACCCCCCATGGCCCCAGCGGGTCCCAGGAGGTATGAAGCAAGGAGGGGAGGGGGAAGGATGGATGGAGCTTTGCCTGGGGACCAGAGGGGGAAGGATGGATGGAGCTTTGCCTGGGGACCAGGCTTGGGCCAGGGCAGAAAAGCCACTCAGTCCCTTCTGGAAGAGAAGAGATACTTAGCCTGTCACAGTCCAGGTCTGTTTCCCGGGGCAGCCTCAGGACCAGCCTCCGAGCGCCCTGACTGGTCCCCAGGGAACTCCCGATTCCAAAAGAGAAATTGCAATCAATACCGGTTACCATTACTGCTCTATCCAATACAGACTTACAAAAACAGCGTGTCAGCCCGAGCCCAGAGGAGACTAAGGAGCAGACTGCCCCCCCAGCAGGCAGCGCTCTCTCCCTCCCAGGCCCTGGGAGCCTGGGGCGGGCCAGGGCTGGAGGAATTAGTCCTGTCTGGGGCCCCGCACCTGGGCAGCTGGCAGGGAGCACCTGCCTTCCCTTCCTTCCTGGTGTTCCTGCTGCTCCGAGGGCCTGGGATACCCGACAGCCCGGGTTTGAAAAGCCCAGGGAAGCCCAGGCGTCCTTCTCTCGCCCTGGACTCTGGGCCCCAGGACTGTAAGCCTCCGCCCAGATTGGCGGTGCAGTGGACGGGACACGCGTGGGAGTTGGGAGCTGGGAGCTCGGGTTCACGTCCAGCTCTGGCGCTGGCTGCCTCGAAGCCCTAGACCAGGGGTGGGCAAACTTTTTGACTCGAGGGCCACAATGGGTTCTTAAACTGGACCGGAGGGCCGGAACAAAAGCATGGATGGAGCGTTTGTGTGAACTAATATAAATTCAAAGTAAACATCATTACATAAAAGGGTACGGTCTTTTTTTTTTTTAGTTTTATTCATTTCAAACGGGCCGGATCCGGCCCGCGGGGCCGTAGTTTGCCCACGGCTGCCCTAGACCCTCCTGCTGAGGGCTGACTTGTGTCCTCGCCCCCCCTTCATATGCTAAAGCCTTCACCCCCAAGGTGGCTGTATTGGGAGATGGGCTAATTAAGATTAAATGAGGTTATAAGGGCGAGGCCCTGATCCACCAGGACCTGTGTTCTTATAGGGAGAGGAAGAGACGGAAGGAGGCGTGGGCACAGGGGGAGGCCGTGTGAGGACAGTGGGAGGGGCCGTCTGCCGGGCAAGGAGGCAGGAAAGCACACCTGCGGACACCCCCACCGTGGACTCAGCCTCCAGAGCTGCCTGTGGCCTAGGACACCGGCCTGCCCTTTTGTGACCCAGGTACCAGCCCTGCCCGGTAGGTCCTGGCATTTCGTTATGTGGCCCCAGGAAACCGCCCTCGCTCAGGCCTGCTTGCCCCAGGGACTCTCTGATGCTCAGAGTCTGGGTTGGGCCCTGTGCTCTGAAGACCTGGGGTGAGGCCCTGGCCGGTTTGGCCCAGTGCATAGAGCGTCAGCTTGTGCACCAAAGGGTCCCGGGTTCAATTCCGGTCAAGGGCATGTACCTTGGGCTCGGGCAGGAGGCCACCAATGGATGTGTTTCTCTCACATCGATGTTTCTCTCTGTCTTCCCCTCTCCCTTCCACTCTCCCTAAGAATCAGTGGGAAAACATCCTCGGGTGAGGATTAAAAAACAAACCAAGAAAGACCTGAGGTGAGGCCTTTGAGGTGGGAGTGGGGAGGACAGAGCTGAGCTGGCCCTGAGGTCAGCAGGTGCACACGAGGTTGCGCCCCCAGAGGGCGAGGCGGGGAGGCTGAACCCAGACCTGCAGTGGGTACGTGCCGGGCACAGAGGAAGGCACTGCTCAGGGACCAGGTGGGCAGGAAGCCAGCCCTGGGCGTGGGCCTTCGTCCAGGCGGGGCCCCATCTGCGCTCGCTCTCGAACCCTCAAATGCAACCCACCCCTGCGTGTGACACTCAGGACACGAGGCGCAGAGGGTCACACGGCTGGTCTGGGCCACAGCACCCCTGTCAGGAGAGGCCTTCTGCCTGGCTCACGGCTCTTTCCCTGCGGAACTGAAGTCAGGCGGAGCCGACCCATCTGGGCTCCGAGGAGACAGCAGGATGGGAGGGGGCCTCGGCTACGGAAGCTGGTTGGGGGCACACAGAACCAGAAGCGGTGCCCTGTCCCTGGCTGGCGGGGAGAGCGAGGGCAGTGCTCCACGTGGCAGGCGGCAGCTGCACCGCCCGCTTTCTGCACAGGGTTCTCCAGGGGCCTGGGAAGCACCATGGTCTCAACTTCACCTTCCAAGTACAACGCCAGGCTGGGCTGGGGCTTGGCCTGCCAGGCTGCTGATGGGCACAGCGTACCACCTGTGTTCCCGGGCTTCTTGGGGGAGTAGCCACCTCCGGAGGTGAGGGCAGTGGTCGAAGGAGAAGACTGGAACCTGGGGTGATGCCCATTCCTGCCCTTTAGGAGAGAGTGGCCAGGCCTCATCTTTCTCTGTGCTCCACGCTCTGCAGGGTCCTACAGAGGCTCCACGAGGCTCTGCGCCCGCCGTCGCGCCTCTCTGCGTGCTTCCCGTGAGGATGACATGAGCTGATCGTGTGCCCCACGCAGCGCCTGGCACGTGATGGGCGGTCAGTGAGTAGTTGGTAGTGACAATGAATTAGTGCTTAGATGACTGTATGACTCTGGTAAGGGCGGCTCAGAACCTGACCTGGACTTTAGCCTCCAAGTGCAGGTTCTGCTCATGCTGACACCTCTTCCCACTGCCCCGCAGGCTGGCCTCTGCAGTGAGGGAGGGCGTGGGCACAGGAAAGGGAGGAGCTGGGAGGGTGTGGGCACAGGGCAGGGAGGATCTGGGAGGGCGTGGGCACAGGGCAGGGAGGATCTGGGACGGTGTGGGGCACAGGGCAGGGAGGATCTGGACGGTGTGGGGCACAGGGCAGGGAGGAGCTGGGACGGTGTGGGCACAGGGCAGGGAGGATCTGGGAGGGCGTGGGGCGCAGGGCAGGGAGGAGCCAGGCTGGCTGCCGTGCCTGCAGACTGACAGCTTCGGGCAGCTGAGCTCTGGAGGGGTCAGCACTGCCTCTGGAGTGTCCCCGGGAGCTGGGGGGCCCCGGGGTGTGAGGCTGGAACGTGTCAGGGAGGAGAACCCGCAGGGGCCGTGGTGCAGAAACAGCGGCTTGTTCCCTCTCTCCTGAGCCCTTTTCTCTAAACACATCGCTGCCTCTCTACCCGGGGATTAGCACACATCCCTCATTCTCCTAGTGCAACAAGATTTTATTTCTAATTATGCTGTAATAAAGCGGGGCGCTCCCAGCTCCCTTTCAAATGACTTGTACACACACTGCCGATCGGATCCTCCCCGGCCCCATTGTAATAGCATTTCCCTGACAGTCATTAGACATGCATGAGAGGGGCCCTTTAAGAATAGAATTGCATTTAAATGGATTTGCTGAGAGAGGAAGATGAAAAAAAGACAGACAAGGGGGAGGGGGAGAGAGGTCTGTTGAACAAACTATGAAAACAAGAGGCCATAATAGCAGGGCACGGAAATAGCCTCTCCCAGCCCTCCCGCTGCACGTGCGGGGCCCAGCAGGGGCGGCACCTCCAGCCTCCCCCGCCCCCTCCCCCATGCTGCCCGCTGGGGGCTTCAGAGCTCTTCGCTCATGTGTCAGATGCTCAGGGTGCGATAGAAATCACTGTTATTAGGATTTGGGAAGCTGCCTGGCTTGGACAGAACACCCATGCCCGGTGTGGGCAAGGCCCTGGGTCCATGGTGCCTGCCCTTCCGCCCGCCGCCCCATCCTTCTGCTCCTCTCCTTAAATGACCCCACCCCCCAAGGCCCACCTCAAGGAGGGGGAGATCCATGCTGACCCCAGAGCCCAGCCCACTTCCTACTAAGATCCCTGCCTCCCCTCACACACCCCCCAAGCCGGCAGACTCCCTGGGCTCTCCAGGCAAACCACAAAGGGCCTGTGTCAACGGCCTAACTACATGCGGCACAGCTATGAGGTGTACAGCTATGATGAAGCCTGTACCGAGTCCCCAAAGGCCTGGAGGGCTCCTGGACGGTGAGCCCGGTGTGGGTCCTGGCATTGCTCTGGGCCCCATCCCGGCTCTGTGCCAAAGGCTCAGCGCAGTGGCATGGGTGCCGGGCACTGCCAGGGCCTCTGCCCTCTGATTTCCTGTCCCATGCCTGCTGCAGGCTGGTGGGGTGGACGGCTTTCCTGCCCCTAACAAGGAGGAAGCTGAGAATCAGGCTCATAGCAATTTGCCCCAAACCACAAAGCTGGAGCTGCCTCAGCCAAAGGCGAGCTTTTGCTCTGCTACTGCCTACTGCACTGCACTCCTCAGCCTGCATACACTGGAAGGTCTTTGAGAGCCGGCTCGCAGACCCTCCTTCTCCTGGGGGACCGGAAGGGCCTCAGGCTCACATTTGGATTGTTTCTGCCTGATCCACGTGTCTCCCTCTCAGATTCCCAAGAAGAATGCAAGTCCCCTTAAAAGTCACCACATGTCACTCTTCTGACTCCCGTGACGCCTGACCTGGTGCTCAGGCTGTGGTCTGTTGCGTGTGGCTGGAAGGCCGTCCTGGGAGGAGCCCTCTGAGATCGGTTTCCGTGTCTTGTAAAGTGGTAACTGTGCCCAGGGAGCCGCCGGAGAGGGCCGGGCCACACGGCGCTCGTTTTCTGTCTCTCGTCCCGTTCCTT